ACTAGGATGGCCCAAGTAGTGTTGAGAAACGCTAATGCAATTGATAAATAACTGCTCTGAAAAAAGTGCGTCTATAATTTGCATCACCCTGAAAAATGGTTTTTTGTAATTTTCAAAAATAGTACTTCGAATTTTAAAGTTTTGTCACCAACAATGTATTTCGAAACTTAAATAAAGTATCATATCAAATCAGTGAGCTTCAAATCGAAATAAGTTTTGAGAAATGTCAAAAATTCACGTGCGTCTATAGTTTACATCAGGACTGTACTTTCTGCATGCCTACTGTAACGTTAACTGTAAATTTGAGATGCTTCCAAAACCATCCGGTTACGAATATCCGGTAACCTTATTTATTAAATCAAAATAAATGGTTTCAAATTCAATAACTCCCACTCGGTTGGTTGCTGCCATAATACTGTAATCCTGACCATGACATCGTCTGACGACGAAGATTGGCGCGAAGAGGTCGAGTATGCAGTGGGAACGATCCGCGTAGGGACAGATCTGCAGTTTGAGATCCGCCAAATGGAAGAGCTGTCGCTCGCTGGTTCGCTCTCCATGCTCTCCGAGATGAGGGAGACCACGTCAGAGATCTCCGGACAGCGTATCTGGCCTGGCTCGTACCTCCTTGCCGAATACGTCCATGCGAATCCCGACATCTTGGCAGGAAAGCGCGTGCTGGAGTTGGGTGCTGGCACAGGACTCGTGAGTCTTGTGGCACGCTTGGCCGGGGCAACGTCTGCGATCGCCACTGACGGCGACTTGGACGTCGTCACTGACATCCTCGCATGGAACGTTCAGAACAACGCCGCGACGAATGCCACGTTGGGCTCGATTGACACGACGTCGTTGTGGTGGGGAGACGCGTCCTCCAACGAGGCATTCCGTGATCGATTCGGCAGCAACCCTTTTGACGTTATCGTGGCTGGCGATGTCCTGTACAAGGGCGAGTTGGTGCCACTACTTCTGTCTACCGTCCTCAAATGGATGCATACTGCTCACGGAACCTTCTTCCTCTGCCACATTCCTCGTGCTGATGTCTCCCACGAAGTGCTGCAGCATGAGTTGCTTGCCCACGGCTTCTCGTTTGAAGTCGTACTCGACCACGCGGCGATAGGCACACAGGATGCGGCAAGGCTGCCCACAGACTGTGCTATCGACGACGTTATCAAAGCCAAGGTGTATCGAATTATACACACGAACGCCACGACGTAAGTCATCGCGATCCGTTAATAATAGAGAGATATTAATATCATATATGTTTCAGCTTCTTTGAATATTATTCGAATTCTTGTGAATTATTCGCTACTCCGAGTATAAACTTCCAAAATTCGCGTGGTTTGTCTAATCAATATTGAATCAGGCTGGAGTTCTGATGTCGTTTATGTAAGAGCCAATCAAATTTATATTAGCTATTTGCGTTGAATCGATTCGACGGGGTCTGGAAATTTATACCGAATCCAACATTTGTATTACGATATCTTGAATAGCTACTACACCGATGACCGTAATTCGTATGGATTCAGAATGAGTGCGGTCCTCACTAATATATGTGCGATGGAATTCCAGAAATTTGTGGTTGGGAATTAGTGTGGACCAATTTCGTGCCATATTGTTGGGTGTACGCCACGATGCCTAATTGCTCTAATTGTCGTAGAAAGCCAGCCATGAAATAACCCTTGTATATGATGTGTCTGCCGCCGCCTTGTTTACATCAATGCCGATTTGTGTTGTGACATTTCATGACAGATCCCACATACAAAAATCAAGATAATACTCCGAACTAATTTTCAATAATCAAAATTGGTGCACTACTGTACACCATTTTTCGTTTATATTCGACGCATTTTGGTCCTAGGGGAGTTAAGTTCAGGTTATTTCCGGTATATTTCGTCCGATGCACAACTGACCCACGCCATGTGCGTTATGTTTGCCAATGTGAATTCTGTCCCAAATCCGCGATAACCTGAACTTAAACGAAAAATGGTGTAATTCTCCAAGCCCATACTTACTGTTAGTGCGGATTGAGATATAGTGCCATCGGTGTACTTCAAATCAAGTGTACTGCCGGCATCTTTTCACAGTATGTTCACAGCAAAACCAAGTGCTGACCATGCAAGATCAACCAAGTGCTGACCATGCAAGATCAACGTCTTTTGTGACACACAATTACGTTTTGGCGATTGCGGGGGGAGAAGGGGGCAATAAAATGCGCAGTTGGGCGCGTAGGTCGTCCAGGGGGGTGTTGAACTCGCGCTCGTAGAAGACGTTCATGAGGAATGGGGCTTGGTGTCCTGCTCGATAGGCCCACGGGATGAACGTACACAGCAGTTGACGGCGCTCGTCTACGAATGTCATGGGTTGCAATTAAGAGCGACGAGAGCGTGTTCACGTACCAGAGCTAAGTCGCAACGGGCCGACGAACCCGCTTAAAGTGCACACGGGCAACCCCGTTTGCACGAGTTCGACGTATTTGAGGGCGATCTCGGAGAATTCGGTGGGGGGCAGACCGAACAACACATGCCAAAAGTCGTGCAGCTCGCGGTATCGCTGCAGGACGTACGCGAGTTCCGGATCGTCGACGAATTTGACGTCGGCGCGGCCATCGGCTTCAAATCTACAACAAGCATGACAGCGACGTGGGACGACAGCAGAACATACCCATGGGCATCCATGAACTGCGTGTACGCATATCCAAACGTGTTGCGCGGAAGGTCACGCAAGGCGTCGATGTCGACAACGTTCGACCGAAAACGGGGTTTCTCCGCTAGAATTTGCATGCCCACAGGGTCCGAGGACATCTTAAGATGCATTTTGCGTAGCGCTACCGCCCCAGTGACATCACCAAGCGCAGCAAGCATATCACCACGTTCTGGGTTTGTGAACACCGACACGGCCGAGCCCACGGCAACGGCGATTTTCTGGAGGGGTGAAGTTGGCATATGGGACTTGTACAGGACATGTTTTGTAGGTTCTCCAGCGGCAGATAGTGCGGTTGACAGGAACGCACGGCGTTCCAGCGGCAGGAGCGCGCGAGCTCTGTGCATGGACGCGCGCATATTCGAGATGTAAGTGGGTTGCCTTTTATAAAGTCTCACAGCTACATGATTGGCCAATCGAGTTGAATTATGTCCAATCATTGCTTGAATATTGAGCTATGGGATTGGTCAAAATACATTCTGTTTTAGCCAATCATTGGCATACTCTTGACACGACATGACAATCCACGCCACAGCAAGATGCCTGTCAATATCTTGGACGTCCTTCGCGAAGGCGCCCAGCGGTCGAACCTGCGGCAAGCATCGAGCAAGATGGGAAGAGCAATGCAGTCCCTAGTATGGCGAGACGCGTTCATCAACCGCGCAGACTTCTCCATCCCCGTGGGAACGAGCCACGTCCTCCAAGTGCGCCAAGCTCCGAACGGGGAAATCAACGGATTAGGTACAGGTCTGACAGTGTGGCCCGCGGCTTGTGTGCTCCTCAAGTACCTCGAGCACCACTACGCACCCTCCAACGGTCTGCAGGGCAAGCGTGTGGTTGAACTCGGTACGGTACCTCGATGATTCGACCTCAAACCAGTCGTCGTTGTTTCAGGATGCGGCACCGGTGCCGTGGGCTTGGCAGCTGCCATGCTTGGCGCTCACGTCGTGCTAACGGATCAAGCGCATATCCTCTTTCACATCCAAGCCAATGTGCAGGCGAACGACGTGGCTGGTGTCGAGTTTTGTGCGTATGACTGGGGGGCACCGTTGCCACAAGTCGTAGCCGGGCGTAAGCCAGTGGATATAGTGCTTATCTCCGACTGCGTTCTGCCAAAGCTGTACCCGATTGAGCCATTGGTCGATGCGATCAATCTTCTCTGTGCGTCCCAGCCCAGTACGGTCGTACTGGTGTCGTTCGAGCACCGCTACTACGAGCATTATGATGCCAAGGACATGTTCTGGACCCTCGTAGCCCAGCGACACTTGACCATTCGCATGGTTCCCCTTGAAGCACACCATCCTAGCTACAACGCCGACGACATTGAGATTTGGGAAATCACCAGCACTACCTAAGTCAACATGATTTACCTTTTCAAATGAATGGCTCACAACGAGAGGCTAGTTCATGGTAGTACTCCTGCAAAGTACTAGTACATACTACGTAGTAGTACTAAACACACATGGTGCAATAATACTCAACAACCAAGCAGCAAGTCGATTCAACATCCGGCGTGACACCACTAAGCATCATGGAGCCCCCAAGGCAAACGCGAGATGTACGTTTTGGATTTGAAGTCTCAGGTGTTAGGAAGTGAGGCGGGGCGCGACGTGTGCGCTTGCGGCAAGACTCGCGCTATCCCTTGATACTGTTCAAGACGAAGACACCGTGCTCGTGTTGGAGGCGGAGCTTCTCGAGCTCTACCAACCAAGAGGGGATGTTGGTTGTCATGGGTGCAGCGCGCTGCCGAGTGTGTTGCCACAACGTGTGTAGGTAGTTCTGTGTGATGGTGGGGCAACGGTTCCGACATGGGTCCGTCTGCGAGGGTACAAGCAACAACGTGTCGTCGTGTAGAGTTGTTCCGGGAGAAGATGGAGCGACCTATGCCACCCACGGGAAACAAAGACAAACGTAAAGCTTATTGGGATTGGATGTGTGGAGGTACGTAGTGTCGTGGTTGTTGTTGTTCGAAGCCTTGGACAATATATCGATGCATGATACCGTCAACAGTTCTCGCGAGGGGTCTACAGCGTCATGAAGGTTGTGTGCAATCGCTGCCGCTCCACCCCAGAGGATTCCATCTCTTGACGGACCTCCGCTCGAATATCTACCGATCGAGATCAAGAGTCGCGTACTCAAAGCTTCCACAGCAAGGCGAGCAACTGCGTCGTCATCGGCGTCTTGAGAGTCTGATCCGTCAGCGTCATCATGTTGGTCAACGAAGGCTACGCCGCTACAGTACAGTACACCTAGCATTCGACATGACAATGCACTGCTGTGAAATTGCTTGAAAGTTTGAAAATACACTCAAATATATTTATATTTTCGGCAGTTTTACATAACCTAAAATATTCGAATATTTGCACTCGGGCAAGCATTTTCGAACAAAAGATGGGTATTTCGTCGTTTTTTCGCAGATATTTGCACTTGAGATTTGTAAGGTCGCCGCTAAAAATACCACTCCAGGTATTATTAATACAGTACTGGACACATCATGGGCGATGTCCGCGTGGTATGCCGTGTCCGTCCCCCCAACTCGATGGAGATCGCGCGAGGCGTCGCAGGTGTGAGATGCGTGAAGACGCAGTCACCTGGTCTCGTGCAGCTTTACTCGGATGGGATCGAGAGTGGGAACGCGCCGCAAGGGTTCACGTTCGACAGTGTGTTCGGGGAAGACTCCACCCAGCAGCAAGTGTTTGACGAAGTCGCGCGGCCTGTGGTGGCAGACATCATGGAAGGATACAACGCAACGATCTTTGCGTATGGACAGACGAGCAGCGGGAAGACATTCACGATGGAAGGGGCGTCGATCGACGACGAAGCTTTGCGCGGTATCATCCCCCGCACGGCGACGGAACTGTTTGCGCGCCTCATGGAAGCCGACGAGAACATGGAGTTCGTCGTCAAGGTTAGCTATATCGAGATCTACATGGAGCGCATCCGAGACTTGTTGGATCCGTACAAGACCAAGATCAACCTCCAGGTCCGCGAGGACAACGACAAGGGCATTTACATCGACGGGGTCACGGAGCTGTGCGTGACGAGCGACGACGAACTGCTCTCCACGATGCGTAGCGGGGCCGCGAATCGCGCGGTGGCCGCCACGGGCATGAACGAAGGGAGTTCGCGGTCGCACAGCGTGTTTATGGTCACGTTGTACCAGCGCAACTTGGAGACCAATTCCACCAAAGTCGGTATGTAGTAGTCCTGTATATCCAGCGGAACCAAATGAAACCAAACGGTGGCTCTCCATGTCTTGAGCTCTGAAACTCCCGTGTACAGGCAAGCTGTACTTGGTCGACTTGGCCGGCAGCGAAATGGTGCGCAAGACTGGTGCGTCCGGCAAACAACTCGAGGAAGCCAAGACAATCAACAAATCGCTGAGTGCGCTGGGGATGGTCATCAACGCCCTCACGACCGCGAACGTCGGCTTTGTCCCGTACCGAGACAGCAAGCTCACGCGGGTGCTGCAAGAAGCCCTCGGCGGCAACTCACGCACATCGCTCATTATCAACGTATCCCCGAGCATCTACAATGCGCCAGAGTCCATGTCCACGCTCCGATTTGGGAACCGCGCCAAGGCAATCAAGAACAAGGCGGTCGTGAACGCCGAAAAGAGCGCCGAAGAGTACAAGCAGCTGCTCGCCAAGGCCGACAAGACCATCAATATGCAGCAAAACTACATTGTCGTGCTGGAGACGCGATTGAAACAGCAATTGCCAACGGTTCCTGCGGCTCCAGAGGCGGCTCCAACAGTTCCAGCGGACAGTGTCGCATCGTCCAGTACATCGCCAGAACAAGAAGCCGCGACCCTTGCTGCCCTCCAAACCCTGCAAGAGCGAGTCGTTCGACTGGAAGAGCAACTCACCGAAGAGCAGCATGAGTCGACCCGGCGCGGCGACGAGATCCGGTCGCTCACGGCCGTGCTCAACGACGCGAAAGCCGCGGCGGCCAACGACCAGCGGACGTGGGAGCGGCAGCGCGGGGACGATCAGACGGCGCGGCTGCTCCAGGAAGAGCTGGCCAACATGAAGCTTGAAATGGACAAGGTCATGTTTGAAAACCAGGAGATCAAGCTGCATGTGGAGACGCTGCAGCAAGAACAGACTCGGCTGTTGGCAAGCGACGCAGACTCGACCGCCGCCGCCCGTCTGTCGGTCGGCGGGGGCAGGGGGGATGAGGAGGACGTGGACATGACAGCCGCCACGCCGCCACCGACGCCGCCCGTGACCCGCGTCGGCAGTTTACTCGCGACTGGTGACGAGAGTAGTGCGGCCAAGTTGGAAGTGGAGTTGAAAGCTGCTCAAGAAGAATTGGTGCAGCATCAAACCCAAGCCCAAAAGGACATTCAACGGTTCACGGAAGAGCGCCGCCAGCTCACGAGCCAGGTATATATATACCCGATTTGTGTATTACGAGGTGATAATATATTGCGATCGTGGTGAGCATAGATTCAAGACCTGGCGCTGCAGTTACAAACCGTCCAATCAAACCAACAAGCGATCTTGTCCACGAGTGGTCCTACCGGCATGTCGGCCCGCGAACGACAGCACATGCGATCAATTCAGCAGAAACTCGAACAACTGGTGGCGGTGCACAGACAGTTGCTGCGCAAGTACGCGTCGTTGGAGGCCGAACACAACGAAGCGCGCCAGAAGCTGGGACTGCGGGACGACCGCATCAAGTCCCTCGAGGTACGTACAGACAGTACCCTCTTATTCCTCTTCATAGTTGCCCGTATTTCGCACCAACTTTGTCGGAAACTCTTAACTACTTAACTACTAGGCCAACACGCGCCTCATGGCGAGCAACATGCGGTTGCAGTCGGAAAAACATTTGGAAGAGCTGAGTGCGCTGCACGTCCAGCTCGCTGAGCTCCGCAAGAACTTGACATTGGACCTCGAAGACCGCGTGAGCATTGACGGGTCGCTGCCGGCTGCTGGAGGCATTGCCGCGTCGGTGCCCGTCCGTCGGCAGACCAGTCTGTACGTCCGTCAAAACAGCATGGTCGGCGACGGCGTGATCCGACCCATCCGCGGCGGCGGCAGACGGCAGAGCACGCTCGACTCGCCGCCCAAGTCGTCGTCCATCCAAGTGCCTGACACGAGCAGCGCCGGCGGCCTCGGCTTTCTCCAGCGCATGTTAGGGCTCAAATAAGACTGTATATAAAGTGTATGGGGTTTCGTTGTTTTTTGTATGGGCAACACTATATGTGAATCTACATTTCCCCCCAATCGGCGTCGTCGTCGTCGAAATCAATTTCCTCGTCCGACTTGAGCCCAAAGTCCAACACATCCGCCGCCACCACGGACGACGGGGCTGCCGTCCCCCGAGCCGCCTCGGCATCTGCTCGCAACCGCGCCTCAGCTTCCACTCGCAGACGCGCCTCTTCTACTCGGGCTTGCTCTTGTACCAATGCCTGGGCTTCCTTTTCTGCGCGAACTCGAGCCTCTTCCTGCGCGACTGCTTGGGCTCTGGCTAGCGCTTCCGCGTGACGTCTAGCCTCCTCCTCCTCGATAGCTTCAGCTTCCGCGCGCAACCTCGCATCTTCCTTCGCTTTCTCTCTCAACCGCGCCTCTTCTTCGGCCGCCCGCGCGTCGGCTTCCGCCTTGGCCTCCGCGGCGGCTCTGGCTTCTGCTTGCGCCCGAGCCTGAGCCTCAGCGTGAGCTCGAGCTTCTTCTTGGGCTTGGGCTCGTGC